GAGGAGGAGTAGCAGTAGGGGTTGAAGCAGCAGCAGCAGCAGCAGCAGCAGCTGTGGTAGTAGCAGTTGTTGTTGTTGCTGCTGCTGCTGCTGCAGCAGGAGTTGCAGCTGCAGCAGCAGCAGGAGTTAAAGCTGCAGCAGCAGCAGCAGCAGTAGTTGCAGCAGCAGCAGCAACCGTGGTAGCAAGACAAGAAGCAAGAGAAACTCAGGCAGAAACCTTCACTGAAGGGTCGTGTGTTCTCTGTACCTAGGGTTTAGGGTTTAGGGTTTAGGGTTTAGGGCCTAGGGTTTAGGGTTTAGGGTTTAGGGTTTGTGCAGAATCGATGGGGGAGAAAGAAGGGGAGCCGCCGCACGGACGGCATGCAGTGGGGGGAGCGGTGGGAGGAGACAGAGGGCATGCAAGACACAGCAGCACAGCAGCAGCAGCAGCAGCAGCAGCAGCAGCAGCAGCAGCAGCAGCTCAGGATCCGCATCCTTGTACGTATTGAAGGGGGCGTTGTTGCACCCTGTCTTTGCTGCTGCTGCTTTGCTTCCGTTGCTGCTGCAGTGCTACTGCTGCTGCTATTGCTGCTGCTGCTGCTATTGCTGCTGCTACTGCTGCTGCTGCTGTTGCTGCTACTGCTGCTGCTGCTGTTGCTGGCCGTTGCTGCTGCTGCTGTTTGTTGTTGTAGTGCTGCAGCATAGGCTCCTTAGGCCTCCTTACATTGCGCGTGCACATGCTGCTGCTGCTGCTGCTGTTGCTGCTGCTGCTGCTCCTGCTGCTGCTGCTGCTGCTGCTGCAGCTGCCAGGGGGAGAAGTAGCAACGCAGCAGGCTCTGCTGCTGCAGCAGCCGCCGATGGAGAGGAGAAGAAGGTTCGATGACAAGTGGTGGATTGAGGCTCACGGAAATTCCTGGGGTTACAAAGAGTAAACCCTAAACCCTAAACCCTAAACCCTAAACCCTCGCCTAAACCCTAAACCCTTGGCTGAACCCTAAACCCTCGCCTAAACCCTAGACCCTTGCCTATACCCTGAACGCTCACCTAAACCCTAAACCCTAGAAACCATAGTCCCTATATTCAAACATAAGCACTAAACCCTCCTCTCAACCCTGAACCATAAACCCTAAACCCTCGTCGCGACCCTAAACCCTCTTCCTAACCCTAAACCCTAAACCCTCTCTTTGTATCCCTGATACTTCGCCATGAAGCGTAAACCCTCGTGTACTCCCCCCAACCCTCTCTTGCGCGTATCTAGGGTTTAGGGTTTAGGGTTTAGGGTTTAGGGTTTGTGTTGCTGCAGAGGGGTTGATGAAGACGGAGTTAAGATGAGGGAGAAGTGGTACGACAACGGCAAAGAAAAAGAAGTCGATAGGTGGACAGAAAAACCTGATGGATCCAAACAAGGCAAAACCCTAAACCCTAAACCCTAAACCCTAAACCCTTAAGTTAGATGGATCGAAACAAGGCAAAACCCTAAACCCTAAACCCTTGTTATTGTGTTAGATGGATCGAAACAAGGCAAAACCCTAAACCCTAAACCCTAGATGGTATTTATTGATGCTTCATTTGCTATTATCTTCATATATTAATATATATATATATATAGATATATATATATATATACATGTATATATATATATAATTAATTAATTAAATTAAATGAGATAAATAAATATGTGTTTTGTATGTAGGGGAGAAGAATGGGAGTCGGGAGGGTGGTTGTTGCTGGTCTGAGCGTTGGGGTTGTGGAGTTGGTGGAGGTGACCAGTGGTCAGACCAGTGGTGGAGTGAGGGTGACGGGGCGGGTGGAGTGGTGCGGTGGGGCTGCAGCAGCGGCAGCAGCAGCGAGCAGCAAAAAGAATGGAGAGAGAAATGGAGAGAAACAGAGAGCTGGGAGACAGGCAGCAGATATATAGAAAAAACAGAAAAACATAAAAACGGAGACGAACAAACCCTCAAAGAAGGAAATGAATGGAGGAGAACGTACACTATATAAACCCTAAACCCTAAACCCTAAACCCTAACAAACTTATACATAGATTGAATCGTACAAACCCTAAACCCTAAACCCTTAAACCCTTGTAACCATCTAAACCCTCTGCTCCTTTTGCCTGTTCTTTTTTTTTTATTTGTTTTTTTTTTTTTTTTTTTTTTTTTT